AAATAAAAGTAACAACTTTCTACTTCTTGTTTTTCTCAAAATGTAAGGAGTAGAAAGTACAGATAACTGTGAAAATGGTAGAAGTAAAAAGTTGGCTGAAAAATAATTACTCAAGTAAAGTTCAGATACCCAAAAATTCTACTTACCGTAAGTACAGTAATAAAGTATTTGTTACTTTACAACTCTGCCCAAAACCATGATTATATTAAGAGAAACTTGAGAGACAAAAATAAACATTTGAGTTCAAATCTAACACTATTCAGGAGACTTTTACTGTGTAATAAATACATTTGTTGGGCTAAAATTTAAAAATTGAACTGAAATACTAGTTTCAGTGTGATTTTCTTTGTTTAATGAACTTTGGTTTTTACAAAAATGTTACAAATATTTGACTAATGCCGCCAAAAATCCATCTAAACAGTTTATTTGCTTTCTGTCTGGCCAATAAAATGTTTTTAAAATATATAAAGAAATTAATTTTGGGTAAAATGCCCTTGTCTTTTTTTTCTCTTGATAAAATAGACATGTTTAACAATAAATATTACAATGATTACATAAGTTCAGGTGAGCTTCTTTCCTGACCTGAGGTCAAAAAGACCCCGAGGCCTAAAACTGAGGCCTCGAGGGTCAAATACATTTATTTTTGAAACTTGAAACTAAAGAAGTGTTCACACAGGTGTGTTTGTAGAGTTTACCTCTGAAGGAGAGTTCCACCTTCCTGTCCGCTCGTCCCGGCAGGTTGAAGATCCTCTTCAGGTCCACGCTGATGGACATGATGGCAGAAGACGGTCTCTGTTCACCTCTTTGTTTTTGTACGTTTCTGTCTACATGATGGATCTGTCCTTTCTGCTCCTCTCAGCAGGYAGAAAGACCCGAGTGTCTGTAAAACTCTACCTGTAAGCTTGTTAAAGTGTGCCGTTGGGCAGGTCGTTCCAATGTTTGATAAAGCAAATAGTTGCTCAACTAGTTTCCTCAGGACAAAAAAAAAAACGTAGAGGAAAAAGCAGACAGAAAAAAAACTTTTATGAATAAAACAGAATTTATCCATAACATCATAAACTAAAATTTTTAATAAATTAGAGCTTTTATTATTATAAATCTGTAAAAAAATGTAGTTTTTCTTTTACCCACGTCTTCATCGCAGCTCAATATTAACAATGATTGATCCCATGGTCCGATAAGGTTGATTAGTTTTAGACCAGCAGCGAAATAATAAAACTGTTTGGAAAAAAAAGTATTTTACATCAAACAATTAGTTTCCCAAAAGTTGCTTTATTGATTCTAACATTCAGCACAGAGATGTCAAACTGCTCAGTACGTTTTTCACATGATGCTAAACATGTAAACATACAGGTTATTTCTAACCCACAAATAAAAGTGACCTGCTGATGAGCACAAAACAGAATCTTCCTCCTTCCATCTGTTGCTTTTTTTAATCTCCCATAATTATCTTACTTCAGTGGAATTCCAACTTTTAACCTAATCATGTGTAATAGGACATGTTGAGGTTACATCATGTGGCATGTAGATAGGTTACAGTGAAAACACAACTTATTCTGATTTTTAAAGGGCATTTATAACATTTAAGGCGCCTATAGTGTATAAAAAAAAACTAAATTTTCCCCTAAAGAATAGTTTAACAAAAGTGGAAAAACAAGCAACGAGGAAGCAACTTGACAAAAGTTTATGAAAATATACTGTAGCTCGGCAAAAATATATGGAATAATCTGGATTTAAGGTCCACAAAGCTGTTTTTTAAGCTGAAAAACAACAAATTATTGATTTGAAGTGATCAGGAATAGGTCTATTTTTACGACAATTGTATTGAAACAATTTAAAAAAACTATTTTCAGTTCTTTTAGCAAAAAGCACAAGTGGTAAATGTGACATCTTAGAACAAAATAACATTTAAACTGATCCCAAACAAAATAATAATAGAAAAAAACTAATGGTAAAAATAATATCAAAAGGTCCAGAATGTTAAAAAAAAAAAAAATAAATTAAAAAAAAGTGGCAATCGTGTTGATCTGAAGTGGTTTTAAACAGATATATAAAATTTTTCAGCACTTTTTTTTGGTCATGATTAACTTCAACATTAAAGATTTGTTGCATCACTCTCCCTGAAACAAAAGGCACAAAACTAGTGATTRTAAGCAAGTTAAAGAGGTTACAGTACTAAGTGTGGATAGCTGYGTAGTTTAAATACATAAATGTGGTTTTGACACTTTTATAAGCATGATTTTCAACTGTATACTTATGTGTTCAGRTCATTGCAGTTTTAAAGAGTAGAATCATCAAGTTATTAATATCTAAAATGTGACCACATCTTTCAGCCCCTGAATGTTGACAAGTTGAGCTCAAAACACAGAAACACCTTAATGTAACACCACAAATGGAGAATTCAAACTAAACTTAGTAAAAATGYAAAGTCCTGCTGAGCTGGTTGACCTGAAAGCAATACTGACACAAAAGTGGCAACATCCACAACCAGTAACAGCAGTAATTACACATTCAAGATAAAGTGGCTGAGAAGCATCAGAAAAGCTGCGGTGYAATCTAAAGTAAGGCAGTGGTGAAGTCAATAAGGCTTGGAGCATAAAGCTATGTATATATATTTGTGTATATATTTCAAGATATTATTTTTTTCCAGCATTTTATATGTAATAAAAGTGCAAAGTATTGGCACCAAATCAATAAAGGTAAAAATAAACCACACAGAGAGATGGTATATAAGGGAATAGGAACCACTGCAGTCCTGCTAAGAGATGACTGTTCAATCTGCTACTGAGCTGGGATGTGGAGGCAGAAAATGTGTGATTTGCATAGTTCAAAAGCAGCAGAAGTCTAAATCTAAAYTATTATTGAAAAACTGAAAAGGAAGCAGTTATAAAACCTGAAAGAAAAGAAGGAATATTTCTTTTTGGCATTAATATTAGGAAGTGCTGAGTGTTTACAGATCATGCAGGTCCTTGTTGAGTATGTAGGTTGCAGCCCCCCCTCAGGCCGGAGCGTTGTGTGGAATGCGACGGGGTGGGGGCGATGGTGGATTTGGGGAATGTGGGGCTGAACAGCGTGGGCGCTGCAGCGAAGTGWTTAGGGTTTGGGAGCAGCTTGTTGTTTCATCGGTTCCAGGCCTCTCATTTTGAAGTAGGACAGCACCTGGCCGGGGACCTCAGCGAGGACAGACTGGGCCAGAGCCGACATGGGAGCCTGGTCAGACAGAGAGGAAAAAAAAACACTTTTAAACTTCTGCCACTTTTTCTGTCTGAAAAATTTCACCGGTTTCTGGTCTTTAAAGTCTGAGCTGCACAGAAGGAAATTTAGAAAAATAAATCTTACATCTTTGAAATTTCTGAAGGGGACAAACTGGACAATGTCTCTGGCAACAGCTTCTCCCACGGTGGACCTGAGTGTGCCATCGTCTCCATCCAGAAGCTCCATGGCCTTAAAATCAGCCGGCCCCACCCCCACGATAATGATGGACAGGGGCAGCCTCGATGCTCGGACTATGGCGTCTCGGGTCTGATCGAAATCTGTGATCTCCCCGTCGGTGAGGATGAGGAGGACGAAGTATTGCTGCAGAGCAGAACATGAAAATGAAGTTAAAAATCTTAAACTCCTCGCCGTGTTCAGTGTGTGTTCGTTTGTTCTCACGGAGGCTGCGTTGGTCTGACTGGCACTGTAGGCAATGGAACCAACATGGTCGATGATGGGAGAGAAGTTTGTGGGTCCAGAGAGTCTGACCTGAGGCAAAACCATCCTGTAGGCTTCCACAATCCCCTGAATGCCTGAGACACAAAATGTTCTGCTTTGGTTTGAGCTGATAAATATTTGAGACAAAAAATAAGGACAGAGAGAACAGGAACCAAAAGTTTCAACCACATTTTGGCCCAAAAGAAAACCCAACTCTGACCATCAAATATTGGCACTAATAACACACATTTTGATACAATTTCTGACAAAAACAGTGATTTCAAATGTATTAAATACACATTTTTAACAAGCTTCCAAAAAAAAAACTACATAAGAAAAACACAATATTGCGTGTTTAACAGATTAGTAACATTTTTAGGGTGTTTTTTGGTAAAATCATCAAATTTGCCAGGACCAGTAGCCCTTACAAAGACCATGTGTTCTATGAATTAATAATAGAAATATAAACACGTGTGTGTGTGTGTGTGTGTGTGTGTGTGTGTGTGTGTGTGTGTGTGTGTGTGTGTGTGTGTGTGTGTGTGTGTGTGTGTGTGTGTGTGT